CCCCCAGTAAATGGTCTGCATGGCTTGTATTGTCTGTCTCCCCCCCTAGGGCACTTATGCCACTGTCTTCAAGGGGCGCAGCAAGCTGACCGAAAACCTCGTTGCCCTGAAGGAAATCCGCCTGGAGCACGAGGAAGGGGCACCTTGCACGGCCATACGGGAAGGTGAGGCCAGGAGGGGCTTTTCCCCATCGCAGCCCCTCCTGAGCAATGCCAGGTCACCGGCGGGCTGGGAACGGGTGGTGTGGGTCCGGTGTTCCCGCAGTCACGCAGAGGGCAGCCCCCGGTCCCGCTGCCCCGACCTGCCATCTCCTCTCCTTGCAGTGTCGCTGCTGAAGAACCTGAAACACGCCAACATTGTCACCCTGCACGACATCATCCACACGGAGCGCTCCCTCACCCTCGTCTTTGAGTACCTGGTGGGTCTGGGGGGTTTCCTGCAGGAACGGGGGGGCATAGCTGCCTTTGGGGGCCGAGGGAAGGAGAGGCTGAGGTGTGCTTCCCGTTGCAGGACAACGACCTCAAGCAGTACCTCGATAACTGTGGGAACCTGATGAGCGTGCACAATGTGAAGGTAGGACAGCGCTGCCTGTCCCCTGTACCCCTGTCTGTCCCCACAGGGACATTGGGGTGCAGGGACCTCCCCCCGAGTGCAGCCCAGGGTGCTGCAGGGCTAGGTCAGGCTGGACACCCCGTCTCGCTGCTGTTCAGCCCTCTTACATTGCCTTTCCTTGACCTTCTTCAGCCTGCTCTGATGCTCTACCAGATTTTCTCAAGTCACTGTCACCCTAAATAAAATCACTTTGTTCAGCCCCTTTTCTGGATTGCGGGTGATGGGTCTGAACACTTGTCTCCCCCGCGCCAGCTTCAAGGGGCTTTCTGGCCGTGAGTTTGGGAGCCCTTGAGGCTGCCCATGTCCCCGTGCTAAATGCAAACCCCTTCTCCTCCCCACAGATCTTCATGTTCCAGCTGCTGCGTGGTCTGGCTTACTGCCACGGGAGGAAGATCCTGCACCGAGACCTCAAACCCCAAAACCTGCTCATCAACGAGAGAGGAGAGCTCAAGCTGGCGGACTTTGGTGGGTCTCATCCTTGGGGAGGATGCAGCACTGCGAGGAGGTGCAGCTGGGTGCAGCTCCCTGATGTCCATCCCTTTCATCCTCAGGACTGGCCAGAGCCAAGTCCGTCCCGACAAAAACGTATTCCAACGAGGTGGTCACGCTGTGGTACCGGCCCCCCGATGTCCTGCTGGGATCTACCGAATATTCCACACCCATCGACATGTGGTGAGCCGCGGCCACAAACAGCTTCCCGGGGTCTCTGAGACGGTGGGTCAGGCGTTTCCATCCCTCTGCCAGTGCGGCACCGTCCGTGCCCACAGTGTTGGTGACACCAGGGGGTGGTGGGCTCTCCCAGAGCCACACATTTTCCATGTCCCCTGGGACTCGGGGTCTTTGGAGCACACTGTCGGCGTCAGGGGTGAACAGTTACCTGTAGCAGAGCCAGGACACAGCTCCCGGAGCTCATTTCCCTCTCCAGGAACCTCAGCCCTGCCCAAGGGGCGGTGGGGTGTCCCCAGGGCTTCTCGCTCGCTAATCCCAGGGCTTCTGCCGCTGCTCTAGGGGAGTTGGGTGCATCCACTACGAGATGGTCACCGGCCGGCCCATGTTCCCCGGCTCCACCGTGAAGGAAGAGCTGCATTTGATCTTCAGGCTGCTGGGTGAGTCTTTTGCTGTCCCCCGAGTCCCCACGCGAGGGCAGTGGCTGACTGCAGGAGCGGTGACAAAGCGAGAGCCTGCAGGGAGCCCGCTGGCAAAGCCTTTGGTGGCGGGGGCAGGCGTGGGCAGGGGGTGCCCGCAGCCCCCCTCCGGGCTCGCAGGCAGCAGAGACTGGCTGTGCTGGGATGCGGAGCCGAGTCCCGTGCGTGTCCTCTCTCCTGGGGAGGATGCTGGCATTGCACGTGTCGGGCTGTTTCCTCCAAACCAAATGAGTGTGACTTTGCTTCCCTCTCTCCTCCTCCCAGGAACCCCAACAGAAGACACCTGGCCTGGAATAACATCCAACGAGGAGTTTAAGGCTTACAGTTTCACGCAGTACCAAGCTCAGCCGTTAATAAATCACGCCCCAAGGTATCTCCTGGAGCAGGGATGGTGGGCTTGCGCTGGTTGTCAATGGGAGCCTGGGGAGACCAGTCTCCTTTCCTCCTCTTGGTGCTGGCAGCTTCTGAATGCAACTGTGCGCTGGAGGTCCCAGCTGCCACTTGTCCCTTGCATTGACTATTGCAATGTCACCTAGGTGCAATAATGCTCTGGTTTTATTTCCTCTTTCTCTCAGGCTGGACTCAGAAGGCATCGACTTACTGACGAGTCTCCTTCTGGTGAGTGGTGGAGCAGTCTGGATGGATGGCAGAGGGATTTGCTGAGATGAAGGTACTCTGGCTGCCCTCCTGCTGATGTTGGAGGCAAGCAGGAGAGGAGCTGGGACTGCAGAATAAGCCATGGCCCTACAGCTATGGCCTTGCAGGTGCTACCCCAAACCACCTCCCATTAAGGACGGTGAACCATCCTTCACCTTGCGTGCTCTCACACACAAAGCTGGTGATCCATAAGGTGCGACATGGCCGGTGCACTCCTGTGGTCACACAGCGTGTGCTGTCCCTTGGGCACATGCAATGGCACTGGAAGTTGCCTGCACACCCCCATGATGAGCACAGGGTTTGGACACGCTGTGACCCACGCAGCCTGTGAAATTCCTTGGGCACTTACATGTGCAGAGGTGCACAGATGTGCACACGCCCTGTACAGGGCTTCAGTGCCGTCTCACACATGCAGACTGTGCGTAATTGCCTTTCTCTGCGGGTTTGTGCAGTACGAAGCCAAAAGCCGGATCTCGGCGGAGGCAGCCCTCCGGCACGCTTACTTCAAGAGCCTGGGAGAGCGGGTGCACCTCCTGCCTGACAGTAAGTGCATGCTGTCCCCTTGCCTGGGGGACACGGAGCAAAGAGCTGCTGTGCAGCCCCAGGGTGATGGTTTGCAGCCCTAGGGTGATGGTTTGCAGCCAGGTCTCTTGTCTTTGCTCACTCAGAGGAAACGGGTGCTTCTTCAGCAGGGTGGGGTGGGAGCCTAGGGACTGCTAGAGCAATAAACTTTTTTTTGGGCAGGATGGTGTAAAGTAGGAGTGAACATGAGAGAAAAGCTCTGATGAGGTGCAAATGCTGCTTGGGCACTGCTGTCCCCTCCTGGCTCTGGGTTTGCAGAGCACTGCCAGCACAGCCAGCTGGACTGACCCCTCTTTCTCTGCCCCCTCTGCCTAGATGTCTCCATCTTCTCCCTGAAAGAGATCCAGCTTCAAAAGGACCCTGGCCACCGAGGCTCAGCCTTTCAGCAGTCAGGTAGGACTGGGGAAAGCCACACTGACCTCTCCCAGGTGCCACAGAGCACAGGGTCCCGCATAGGAAACAGCCAAAGCTGGTTCCTGCTCCCTGCTTTAGTCCAGGAGTTACCCCTGGGGCATCCTCGCTTGTCACCTGCCATGGTGCCAAAGTCACAGCTCCCTCCTCTGTGGCTGCCGTGGGCTTGTTAACCTCCTAACCCGGAGCACCGCAGGGCTTGGCATCTCTGCAAAGTGCTGTTCGCCTCTGACCTCTCTGACCCATTTCCTTCTCTCTTCCTCAGCCCGAGGGAAGAACAGGAGGCAGAGTATATTTTAAACTTGGATCTCATCTTCCCCTTGTCACCATGGAGATCAAAGCACTGAGAAAGGAGACGGCAACACGCTCCCACCCGACCCACCGCAGAATTACCGACTCGAGCAGGACGATGCTGAAGCATCCTTGGCCACAGGCTCTCCTCTGCCCATCCCCACACCCACAGCCCCTAGCAGCTGCTGGTGATGGACCCGTGGCCTTTGTCCCCTCCTGTTTTCCTGTTGCCCCCATCAGCCATGAGCTGCCACCCTCTGTGCAGGTGCTGTAGCGAGGAGCTGCCCCGGGCAGGATCGTGTGCTGCCTCGGGGGCTGAGTTGAGCACGGGGAGGGTTTGTGAGCAGACAGGGGTATCGCCAAAGCTGGGCTGTGGTTCGTAGCATTTGGCCCAGGCAGGCATTTCTGCAAGTGTCTGTTTGCTCAGACAACCTGCTCTGCACCCCCTGTTTCTTGGGGAAACCCTTTGCAGACACGTTGAGTTGGCGGCATGACCCAGCCTGGCACTGGAGAGGCTGCACCTGAAGCACAAAAGCCAGGGCAGCCCTCCCTTGTTTGCCCCCGCCTCTGCCTGCGTAACCCCTTTTTTTCTCTCCATCTTTGGTACCTTAACCCTGACAACGATGGAGCAGCTGGGAGGAGGGGACTTCCCATTGCTTCCCGCAGCATCTCCCCCTCCTTGCCACCGTTGCATTTCCAAATTCAGCCAACTGGGCTCCCCAGGGGTGTCCTGAGCTGAGACCAAGGGCTGGCTTAGCCCACCCGGGGTGCAGGGACTTGCTGGCAGAGCTGCACAGAAGTGGGGCCAAATGAGCATCAGCCCCGTGCTGCCTCCTGTTGCTGCACCGAGCCCTTGGGGCAACCTTCTCCAGGCACCAATGGAGCAGCCCCTTTCTCATCACCGAGCCTGCCACCCTCCAGTCCTGTGACCCTCTCTGCCATCGTCACAGGGGGCAGGACGTGGTTCCCAGCTGGTGTCTCAGGAGCGTCCCATCGCTGGCATCTCCCCCCGTGTCCCATCGCCGAGCCCCGTGCGACGTGGCGGAGCCCGAGCCGCGCAGCCTCTCTGTACCGAAATGTCGCGCCCGCCCACCTCGGTGCATTTCTACCCAGAGGAAGGGGGAGAGGTGCCAAACTTCCCACAGCTCAGCTGTGGGGGCCAGAAATAGACCTGGAGAGAAGGAAATCATCCCTCAAACCTCATCGCCTGCCCTCTGTGTTTGTAGCCAATGCCAGACCATACCAGCCCTGACTCGGATCCGTGCCGTGGGACCGAGGTGCGTGCGTGGATCTGAGCGTGCTTTGCTGGCCGAGGACTGCTCCCGGTGCGTTTTCCTCTCCGTACACTTCAGGAACGTGCCAAATCCATCCTGAGTGAAGAGACTCTGCTGCACCTCTCCCCCACAGCCTGCAAACAGCCTGAAACGTCTCCAAGTGTGTGAACATTGCAAGTCTCTCTACTGTGTAATATTCACATCCTTTTCTTGGCTGTCCCAGATGACTTGTTCTCTCGCCCACGGGTCCTCCAGCCCATGGATGTGGCCAGGAGGCTCTGGATGTGGCAGGTGCTGTGACTGTCACCTGGCACTGGGAGTGGCAGGACATGCTGATGTCTTAACCCATAATTCTCCATGCCGCTGCTTCCCCACCGAGCAGGGAGCGAGGGCTCTGTTTTCTGCTTTGCTCTGTGGCATTTTTCCTGTGATCCTCGGAAAATGCAAAGCGTGAGGATAAATGCAGAGACCCCAGAGCTCCCCAGAGCTTCTGGGGTGATTTCTCCCTGTGCCAGTGCTCGATGAGCTCGCTGAGCTTCCCCCATCAGACCAAAGCTGTTAATTCGGGTTTGTCCTAGACAAGCATCCAGACGTCTGCATTGTTTGAGGTTTGCCCATCCCTGCTCAGTTCCCTTCTCGGTATGTCCAGCATACAACGGGATGAATAGTTCATTAATTGTTTCCATTTGATAGGGAAGAGGATGAATAGCCACCAGCCACCAGTGACGCATTTCACCCTGATGTCAGCGCAGTGTTTTGCCTGCTTTCCCACCCCCGGCTCCTGCTGCATGGGGCTTTTCAGTGGGGAGCTTCCCAAAGGGAGGTGTTGGCTGGAATAAGCCTGAACTCTCCGCGCTGTCATCTTTTCTTTCACAAAAGCGTTTTTATACAGGAATTTCCTTGGCATGGCAGGGATCTGTGGCGCAGACTTGCACTTCCCAGGGCAGCCAGCTCCCGTCAGGAATGAGCAGCTCGGCAGGCAGGCCAGCTCATGGACCCAGCATCTCCCGCGGCATCACCTCCAGGTACATGGGGCGAGGAGTGCTGGTGTACCCGGGGGGGGCACAGACCCTCTTGTGCTTTGTGAGCCCAGATCGGACTGGGAGGAGCAGGAACCCCCTCCACCTGCTCTTGTGAAGCCCATTCAGGCTATGTTTGACCTGTCCTTGTGCAGTTTTCTTGCTTGGCTTTACCATCCCCATGCACTGAGATTGCCTTGGGCATAAAGCACCCCCTGAGCCCCCCCCACTTTCACGCTGGGAGAATGGAGGCAGACCCCACTGGACCACTGGATCAGTGGGGTCTCAGCTGTCCTCCCGTCAGAGAGGCGTTCCTAGGTCACCTATGGAAACCGTTGGGGAAAAGACCCAGGAATGATGCAGATACCCGGGATCAGATAGCACACACAAAGGGCCTGTTAGCTGCTGTTTATTCTTTCATAGCCTTTGCCTTTCCTCCTACAAATCCTGCCTGAAGGAGACACTATTATTTATTAGCCCTGTGCGCAACTAACAGCCCGAATTGAAGATAACCCTTTTTGTTCCACTGCATTTGGTGGATATTTGATTCCTATTCAGGAGGGCGATAGTGTGTGTAAATATTTGGTGCCCCACTGAGCAAGGTTTGATTTATAAGCTCCCGTCACTGCTGCACTTCCACGGGCAGAGCCCCGGCTGTCTGATGTCCCCCGGCACGCTGCCGGCTGGAGAAAAGCAGCGGCAGGCTGAAGCCCGCAGCCAAATCCCCCTGCTCCGTCCCCTGGGTAGTGTCACGGTCCCCCTGCGGACCACAGGCTCTGGCTGGGTGCATGAGGACCAACATCCCCTGGATGCCCCAGGTTATAGAAGCCCTGAGCAGAGCGATGCCCTGCTCCTCGTGCCTGCAACGGGAGGAAATCAGCAGCGGGACTCCTGCTGCTGATGGCATCACTCCCTGCCTGCTCCGCAGCTCATCCCTGGGCAGGCGTTCCCCAGCTTTTGGAGCACCAGCCAGCTCCCAAGTTGTTTTTTTTTTAAAGTAGCACTAATGAAAATGCTGGGAATATCTGTGGCTCTCCAACATTTTTTTGGTTTTGTGGGTTCTCCCATCCACTGCTTTGCAGAGTAGCTGGCAGTCCTCGCAGATGGGGAGTTTTCACAAAAGGAAACCGTTGCTTTGTCTTCCAGATATTTTTCTTGCAATTTTTTTTTTTTTTCACTAGTTCTCGTGGAAAATGGAGTTTTGGCTGTTCCCTCAGGAAAGGCTGTATTCTTTTGTCTCTCCAGTTGTTAGCTAGTTAAAGAGATGTAAGTAAATAATGTGTAAAGCAATGTCCGAGTTACGGGACAACAATAAAACTTACAGACAGAGCTATTTAATGTCACCCTCTCCGTACACACATGCACACGCCTTTCCTGGCCCAACCCATTGCCAGATCTATGTTCAGATTTTAAATAACAAAACTACATTGTATCTTGGAGACTGAGGACAAAATAAGTGAATTTTTTCCTCTCCCTTACAAACGATGGGAAAAAAAAAATAAATCAGAAGGCCATTTTCCCAAGCTTCTCAACTGTTTTATTTGTTTTTTTCCCCATGACTTATCTTCAGTCAGAAGTTAGGCTGGCATGAAATGGGAGCCCAGAGCTCCCAGGAACGGGCAGGTGGGAAAACATTAGAGTCAAACCTGCTGGACTGAGAAATGTAAGAGGTTTAGTGTGTGTGTCCCAGGGCACGGGGAGAGGACCAGGCACAAATACTATGAAACCCACTTTCTGGTTTCTTCATTGCCTTCTTTCATCCTCAGCATCCTGCTTGTCCTACAGCAGGAAAATAGATCCCAGCAGCCAGGATATACATACTGTGAATATTCTCCGGTGTGATTCATTTGCAGAATACCAATAATATATTTAACTAGTGTTGTACAAACAAAAGATGCATTTTAAAAGAAATTATTTTAAAGATTTATTCCAACAGAAGCAATGATTTTTTTATAGAAAGTTTTTCTGGAATAAATGGAGAGGTACAAAAAAAAAAGAGAGAATAAAAGATTGTATCCATCTACCAATCTTGTGTCTGAATGTTTTATAAGAATATTTCAATTTTTGTATTCCAGATGTGACATGGACTATTTTGTGGATGTGGCCAGTTTATTGCTAAGGCTTATTTTACACTTGTATTGTGAATGCTCCAAAGCCAAGATTGGACAATAAACTTTACTGAATACAGGATAGTTTTGTACAGGATATAATTTTTCTCTTTTCTTTTTTTCTTTTGCTAGGAGAAGGATCCACTCTGGTTTTGAATTGCAGCCAGGTAGCACTGAGGTCTCAGGCGCAGGTCCCTTGGCAGGCTCCGGTGGGTTGCTCTGTGGTGGGTGTGCAGGGGAGGCAGGCTGCCGGACCGGACCGCGGCAGGGACCGTGCCATGCCATCCTGTGCCATCTGTGTGCCTTCCCGCACAGCCATTCCCCACCGCAGCTTTCCGTGCATCTCCAGGATGCCTCTCATCTTCACCTCTGCTAGCAGAGGGCATTTTGCAGCTGGCTGTAGTAAACTCCCAGGCTTTGTGCAAAAGGAGTTTCCCACCACCTGACCTTGCAGGAGGTTGAAACACAAGACCTCAGAAACTTGTGCACAATAGGACAATGTTTCTGTGGTTCCTTGTGCAGGTCCTAAGACCCTAAACAAATATTGCCATAAGCCTATCAGGCAAATAAAGCGCAGAGCTGACGTGCCCAGCCCAGTAAAAGCAACT